AGCCACAAAAGGGGCATGATAATGTCCACTTTCATAAATTAATATTTAACTTAATATTCTCCTCACTTCTGATTAAAAGAAAATTTAGGGATATACAGAAACAAACTACTAACATGTACAATGTCCCTTATTGATGAAAACAAATCCAATTATCTTCATTTACACAAGTATTGGAATAATATATAAGTGGGGGTTTAGTTCCTGTGAATTGTTACATATATAAAAAATTTGTAAAATGGTAAACATGTAATGCCTATGGACCTTCCAAGAGATACACCATGAGAGGTCTTAATTTCTAGTCCCCAGAGTGAAAATTGTGTGGTGAGTCCGTGAAACTGCACACGAGACTCGGTGGTCCCATGTGGCAGCTTCTACTGTTGCCCCTCATGATACTCAACTGAACCAAAACCCCATATATGCAAAAATACATATAGCAAGTTTATAATGAGAGTCACATATATCCATTAAATGGCTGACAATTCTTGCAGCAGCAGAAATGTTCATCTTCAATATTTTTCTGTAAAGGATGATCTAAAAATGTTCATGCAATTGCACCATAATGAATGCTACTTCCTTTCTCTTAAAAGGCTTTGCATTATATACTTTCTACAACCACAGATAATTGTGTCTTGAGGCTCACAGCAAAACATCTGGCCAAGTAGCAGTTAGTAAAAAATGTTGCACCAAGTCTGCACTTTTCTCTGCTAACATATTTGTAAATTAGCTCACAGGGTTCTGGAATTTCAATTTAATTTTGATATGTCCTTTGCACAGTACATATTCCAATATAACAGATTAATCAGCATATGCCATACAAATATCAATTAACACAAAAGTCCAGGCGTTTACAGTGACTACAATTTAAACTTAAAATTGAAATAAAGTACTCATCAATTTACATTTAGTTGCAGGGAAAGCATCCATGCTCAGGTTTGGTCTGAAAAAATTAAAATTTTATGAAAATCCCTTTACACTATACAAGTCTTAAGAGATAATCATTTAAATTACTGTAAGATGTAACAAATGTAAGTCCTGTAACACAGATTCAAAAATTATTAATTCATACAAGTTGTAATCACAGCTGCATGTCTGAAGTAACGTTTCAAAAGGTACTCAACATATGGCGAATGCCAAGAAGAAAACCTCAATCAGTTATGAGGTAAAATTGTATTGGATTCCACATCAAATACTTGCCTGCTCAGGAAAAGCTGCAGCATTTCCCGAGTTTCCTGCGGAAAATAATCCTGTCTAATTGCTTGTTCCAGAGCGACCATACAACCATCCAAATTCCATGTCAATTTCATCTTCTTGTCTTCACTCTGAAAATATTTTGAAATGTATTCACAGTTTCACTCAATATATCTCTCACAGGTAAAATGCTGACGAGCTGCACAACAGAGACAATCGTCAGATATGCTGGTGAAAATGTGCCAAATTAAACAATTTATGGCAGATAAAAGTTACATATCAAAATAAGCAATATTCATCGAAATGGACTACTTTACCTTGATTAATCCCAAATGAACCAGTAAACTGTTGTTGACTAAAGATGACCGCTCCTGTTCTGCTGCCCATCTGAACAATTCCTTATACAGTGCATCACTACATGAAAACACTGCCTGCTTGGTCACTTCCGAACTACTTGCACTTAAAGATGACACTTTCATTAAAGTTGACACAAGCTGCTCCAAATAAGAGTCATCATTACAGTCCTGTACAGAAAATGCCATTTAGCCATTCTTAACGCACATAGGAAGATGTGAAGTAATTTTCCCCATACAATAATATTTCCCTTTTCAACAAATATTAAAATCACCTGTCATATGTGTGGTATGTCTCAGGGTTCTGAATGAATGTTTGAAACCTGTCACCACACAAATTTCCTGACCAATTACCACTGTCAAGTAAAAATATTTTGTTATTGCCATATCCTATTCTATCATCTTAAAAAGTACTTTAACAATTTAATTCGTTTAAAAATTATCTTTTTACAGTGAGGGATTCCTGACACCATCCCCAAAACCCAAGATGAAGGACCATCCCTTATTGGCCATGCTAAACCACTTTGCGGGTATCCTCCATATCTGGGTAAACATGAACAATACTGTGTAAGTCTTTTAATAAAAGTGGCAGTTTTCAAAAGTAAATGAACATTTCAAGGCGTAACAGAATTATTCTGGAATGGTTAAAACATTTCTTTCATCAAATAATCCACAATTATATTTTGTATGTATAATTCCAGTAAAGGACATGAAAATTGTGTGTGTAAATATGGTTCAAAGATTAAATATGCATACATGATAAATTTTCTGGCATACAAAAGGAAATTAAACATACCTTAATCAGTTTCATGATAAGCTCAACTCGATTATTCCCCAAAGCTAAGAAGTGCTCTTGTGTTGGACACTGAAGAAACTCGAGCACACTTCCCTAACAAAGAAAATAACAAAGTACATCACTTCATCCTACTGCAATGGATTCATTTTAAACTAAAAGTCATACTGTGTGATGATAAATTATTTATATCATCATATATGCATGTACACATGCATATCATATCACTGAGTCACAAAGTATCCAATATAAGGGAAGCCAATGGTACAAAAATACATTAATATAAGAATAATAAAATTGCACAAATTAAAATGCTTTCAGAACCATCAATTTACACACTGCAGTTGAAGTTAAATTAATGGTTCAAATTTTAATAAAACTGCAAAAATAATTCAAATTAATATGTTTATCATTTTTAATTTTAAAGAAAAATATCTTGAATTACAATTTGCAGCCACCAAATATGCAACTTGTCTTTCAGTATTATACTTTTAAACAGTAAGTTATGCCGGCCTACTAACATACCAAAAATGTGCCTCCATCTGGTTTCTTTTTTGTCTCCTGGCTGTCATTCAATTTCACATTCTGGATGTCTCGTATTGTTCTCTCCAAGTCTGCAATGTCTTCCTTCTCAGTTTTCCTATCCTCCAATTTACTTTCTTCATTTTCATCACCTTCTTCCTCATCTTCATCTTCCTCCTCCTCCTCCTCTTCTTCTTCTTCTTCCTCCTCTTCATCCTCACTAACAATAAAGGATCAACGTTACTATCCACTCAAATTAAAGTGCCCAATTCAAATGATATGATAATCTATAAATGCTATGAAGGACACTAAAATAATAAAAATGACTACATGTATTCTGGCACTTTTTAAATCTATTCTGCTGAACACTTAACATTTCAGAAACCTGTTATACTACATTCAGTTACTGCCAAAAGATATTTCTCTGGAAACAATTTAGCTACATTCCGAAGGAACATTAGTGTTTTAACTGCTATAACACACGTCTGTAAAAAGTGAGAGCAATTGTGCCATTCCTAAATTCGGCTTGTATTAACAATGTTCTTAAAATTGCCTCCCATTAAGACGCGGTAAATATGAGTAAAAAGGTTTCCAGTTTCTCAATACAATTCATGACTGGCATTCTTCAAAATGGTTGCTTATTATTCTTTGTATTTCTTTATAAAACATGCTATTTCATTTTCAGATAGTACGAATATGCAACTTCCTTTTCGGCCGTTATTCAATGTCTGTACGAGTCAGAGCACTGAAACTGGCCGCAACTTTGCATGCAAATGCCTACCATCTGGCACGAACATACTACGCCAATGTCACCTCTTCTCGTCTAAGAGTTCAAGCGCAAATGCTGAGGTCTAGCACACTGAATGACTCACCTGAGACTACCGAGAGCATCCAGCCTGCCACTGTCCTTCAACTCTGATTGCAATTCCTGTCGGCCAGTCTCCCCAAACATATTTCCTTCTAGATCCAGGAGAACCAGTTTTTCTTTGTTCCTCATAGCCCTAGCCAATTCTATTCCTCCTCTTGCACGTATTTCATTGAAGCCTAAATACACCCTCTGTTAAAAACATAAATCACATCTAATGATTAAGGATAGTTTCAGTCTATTACCCTCAGAAGTTGACATATTTAAATTTTCAGAACAAATCCTGTTATGGAATCCAAGCTTCTTCACCATCACCACTAAAGCTCAAATGATTAGACCCCATTAGATTCTGAACATGGGAAGTTTTAAGCATAATAATGAGCACTTACTCAAACCCCTCTCAAATCAAGTAATGTAAGTTACCGTATATCACATACACTTCAAAACTGAACATCATAATTTATGTAACAGACCATGACTCTTTACAGTTTACAATGTATTAATATTCAAACATCAATAATCAATATACAATCCTAGATTGACCAGTGGGCATCACATTCTACCTAACTGCAAAAAAATAGTGCTGAAAATGGAGGTAACATGTATTCATCCACTGTTAATTCAACAATTTCTATAACACTACTTCTGTTAGGCAGTAACAAGCCTGTTTTAAATTAATAAGACTAACCAAACAACACTTAAAATCAAATAATCAATAATAAACAACCAACCACAGGAAGTTGCATCATGTTACCTGTAATTCCTTGTGACCGTCAGTTAATGCAGCAGCAAACAACGTTGCTCCCTTAGTCTTCAGCAAACAATCACCCACGTTGATTTCCCTCAGTTTCTGCAAGCGTGGTAACGCAGCAGACAAAGCTACTGCTCCTTTCACTGTAACTATGTTGTCATTTAGATTCAACACTTGAAGATTTGGATTCTTTACGAAGGCTTCACTAAGAGCTGTGATTCCTGCATGGTATATACCATTCTGTGGCATAGCTACTTCTTCTAGTGTTCCAAGAGTCTAAGAAAATTTTAAAAAAAGACAGAGTTGGTTTCAACAGCTCCCAAACCACAACAGCCAAATGGATACATACTTCAAAACAATAAATCTGGTAAGATACATATCGGCAGGCCTGTATTCTGTTAAATCATTTTCTCTCAGTTCACCAATTTAAACACAAATTAGTATTCATGAATATATTTTAAATGATAAAAGATAACAGATGATTGACAGCAACATACTAAAATCAAAATCCGTATCTGACAGAGAAAGAGGAATTTACAGAGCAATGAGCTGAGAAGCTTCATAATTTGTACCCTTCACCTATTATGATCTGGATGATCAAATCAAACAGCCTGATATCAATGAGACATGTAACATGCATTAAACAAGAAAACTGCGTACAAAATTTTGGTTGTAGGACATGAAGGCGTGAAACTTATCAATTTGTGGCAGTCCCATTGGTTTGGAACACCAGGAACATGTCTGTGTGTTGCTTGTACTATACATTCCTGTGATTTCAACAAGAAATCCATAGAAATGTCCAATGATATTTATAGTATCAACAAAATAATTACCTTAAATACTTCTGAAAGTGCTTTTGCCCCCTCATTCTCAAGCCTATTTCTGCCAGCAATAAAGACCTTCAATGAAAGGATTCTCCCACTTTCTCTGCTTTCATTATAGCAATCAAGCAAGGCTTGTGATAATAGCTGTAACCAAAAGACAATAACAAGATATATGCAACAAACCAAGAAACTAAAACCATTTTTCTTTAAGATATACACAAATAGTTAAAAATGTGGTAATTCATCAGTATCAATGAGTTAAATCATACATACATTAACTTTTAATTCCCTTCAAAGGGTAATAACATTTAAAATATTCATAAACTAAACTGGAAAGTTTTTTTTAAAGTGTGCATATTCCATTGTTACCATATTAGACATATTAATGGATTTAAGAAGTTATAGCATACCTTTCCTCCTCCAATTCCAAGCCCATTGTTGTTTAGCTTAAGTATTTCAAGGGCATGACATGAAGGGCTACGTAACAACATAGCAAGTCCTTCTACTCCAATTGGTCCAAATGCATTGTCACTCAGGTCAAGTTCCATGAGCTGTGCGCCAGATAAAACTAAGCCACTGCCAAGAAATTGCTGTGATTGAATAGACAAATGATTTATATTAAATGCTGCAGTCGAAGTATAAATATTACATACACAAAAAATTAAATTTCACATTTATATAAAATGTGACTTTAGTTGACTGAATGAATATTCAACTCTCAACTAAAATAGCTTTCGACTCTCGACTACTCACCAAGAACTTCTGGTAGGTGTTTAAATGAATACATGTATTTATCTAGTCAGTGGCAAACATCTGAAATTCCTGTCTGAAAAACAATTAATCACTCTACGAAAATTTCAAATCTGTACTGTTCCATACACTAGAATGCTTGAATTAGTTAATCCTGCATGCACAGCATATGCCAAGTTACTCACCAAGGCCTTTGGAATTTCAGTTTTCATTCGTCCGGTAAACATATCTTTCCATAATGCTCTTTTAAATTCACTGTGTGATTCAAGAGCTTTAGCAATACCTTTGGCAGCATCAACACCTAGTGTATTGCCTTCTAACTTGAGATAGTGCAAATTCTGGCAGGAATTGATGGCTTGTATTACATCCCTTGCTATAAAACAAAATTATAATGCCATAGACTTATACAGAGCATTAGTAAGACGCAAATAATTTTAAAGCACGATAAGGCTGGAGCAATAAAACAACGAACAAAGAAACGTAACATTCCTAACAAAATCACTGCACTTTCTAACCTATCGTGAATCAAGAATAACCATCATCTTGGTAAGCACAGTCTCATTCGTAATACAAATAATTACCATCATCTTCCGTATCAAGTTTTAGAGATTTTCCTTCAAAACTAACACCACTGTCCTCCACAGTCGTGTCAGAAAGACGCTTCGTAACATCATCCACAACAGCATCCGACATCTCTACACACAATATTCAAAACAACCTTTTGGCGGGTTTCAAAAACCAAACGCTGATTTAAGAAACGCAACTTAGCAAAATCTACAAAAGTCTGTCACAGATTACATAACAGAGATGATTAAATCCTTTCGAAACCCCGGTCTTACGAGGAAATTTGAGCAGGTCGAAACACAGTGGTTACCAACATGGCTATTACGCGTTAAGTCACAAATACCAACAGTGGCGTAATTAATAACTTTGATTTTCTGCAGATAAATGGACGTTTGTGGTATTATGATACGAGACCAGTATTTTTAGAACCACTTAACTGATTTGTATTGAAATACCCATAATACACGTACAAATTGAAGTGCCATGGAATACAGGTTAAGAGTCTAGTAGGTGAAACCAGAAGGAAGTTTACACAGATGAAGTTAGCATAGGTAAAATATTTGTCTGCAGATAAACTATCATGGAACCGGAAAGGAAATGATTATATCTACAAATTCGTGGGCACTATTGGCGTCTGACACAAATGAAAACTCTCTAATGCAATGATGATTTAAGATGCAAGACTGTGTTAGACCGCACAAATCAATGAAAACCAATACATGGAGAGGAAAACAAGAAAAGAGAACTAACATAAAACAAGAGTGAGTGAGAGAGAGAGAGAGAACACACCTAATGGTTTCGTATTGCACAGGACACCGACAAGTTCAATTCCGTTTAAACTCACCACTGTGAAAACCTCAAATCTTACAGTCATAATTCAATTGCCTATTAAGCTCAGAAACCGTACTAACTCTCTTGCATCATTGGAAGCAACAATTAGTTCTCGGCGACTGTTATATCTATTTAAAATAATTAATAATTTTTCTCGTCATTAAAATCAGGTTCGATAGGCCTACAGAAAGTATTTTTAATTCACTTATGCTATTCTCTTGTTCCTTATTATTAGCAGTAGCACCAACATCTTGTGAAATTTTATATTTGTACCATTTCATTATGCGGGTTGTCACTGCCTTCTTAAACAAAAAAATATTTAACAGACAGAAAATAACTTTGGAAATGAAACACAGATACATCTCACTGTGAAAATTCAACTAAATTCTGCATTTCTTTTCAAGATTTCAGTTTCGAAACAGCAGAACAGCAGTTAGAAGTGATTATGTCATGCAACTAGAAGACCAGTATATCAGCAACACAGAACAGAGGAAGAATTTCAACAAAAATTAATTTCAGGTTAGAATCTTAAGTTGTCAAATTGTTATACCACGATTTGTAACAACGTAATTTCTTAAAATTAAAATATCAAAGCATAGAAGAAATGAAAGTGAAATGAAAATTATTTAACATCAATATTTAATTAAATTTATCCTGTTTAGC